CCTCAGGGTGCTAGCAGGGGACTGGGGTCTGGCAACACTCCTGTCCCTTGAGCAGCCAGTAGGGAAAAGCCTGGGATGGTGCGGGCAGCTCTCCATAATCAGAAGTTCTGCCAGGGCCTGGCCACGCCCCCCTGCTCAGTCCAGTACTGTGCAAGGGAAAGGAGGGCTATTCTAGTACCCCCCACCCTGGCTTCTAGCCTGAACCAGTGCAGACATGTGCCTGAATTTCTCTCAGTCCAGAGAGAATGTCTGTCTGGTTACAAACCAGTTCAGCCAGCCAGGTTAGACTAACCTGCAAAGATTGAATCAATTCAGATTCAGGCTTTTTGAATGTCTGTCACTAGCCTTTAAGACTAAAGCATGTCCTCCTAAACTTTTTGGAGGGGCTGCTCCTCTATGATGTAAACTGACAAGGTGCAATTAAGTATGTTCAAGCACCTCTCTGGTACAAACCATTTGAGAGTGAAAAACTTGTAAAATGATGTGGTGTGCTGATGGCTTTTCTGACTGGATGAGAACTCATATCCAGTTTTATACTTCTCCATCAGCACAGAGACCTATGAAATAACAGAAACTTCAGGAAAGTCGGTTGGAATTGAAACCATCTTTTGTTTTGCTTAAACAAGAAGATCTGTGTTTCCATTATTGTGGAAAACAGAACTTCTTCATTCTTTCGGCATTCCATAATTATAGGTTTGTAAAGTTAACGTCTTGAAAATCTTTTTCCACGTGTCTAGCATGGTTGAAAGTCAAACCCCAGATCAGTTTGTTCTCATTTTTATTATTTATTGATCAGGAAATCTCTCTTGCAATTTTATGAGATCTTGGTAAGAATACCTTCCTGAATTCTCTTATGCTTACAAAGTACTTTAACATACATTGTTTGTGTGACTACAGAATATCTGTAGCCACTATTTTGTATTGGAATATACACAAGATAGAAAGTGTGGTAAGTAAATCCTTATTTATGATCTTGTGTTAACTTGGCAGATGTTGCAAGAAAAAGATAAAAGGCCCATAACCTCCAAAAGTGCAAAGCAGCATGCATCACATACAGCAAAAGCAGAAGCCATTTTTCTCTGCTTATGCATAACCTTCCCACATTAAAGTAGATTTTGTTTTCTGAGTTGCCCAGTTTTGTGTGCAAGGCCACAGGGTAGATTTATAATGATTGTACATATGTTGGGATTATTGGAGCTGTTAAAAAAAAACAAAACAAACAAACAGGAAGTGAACAAATAAAACCAGCGGAATGGGACAAAACTAATTCCCTACTATCCTGTGACAGCAGGACAGAAATACAGCATTAGCCAAAGAGGATTGAATGCTAATGTGTATGTACAGCATGAGTGCCACATGAGGGCGCTCTCAGATTGTTCAATACATTATCATTTTTTCTCTGGGCTTCTTGGATACATTTAAAATAGGATTGGGATTATAGAATACTTTGTAGAGCAGTTTATAGATGGATATGTGCTTTATCTCACTAGAACTAGAGACTAATGTATTTAACATACATAATCTGTTACATACTTAACATACTTAATCTGTTAATATACTTAGTGTCACAGGGATTTTATATAGGAAATTTTCATGTTTTAGTCTTATCTCCCACATCTTGGCAGTGATTTTTTTTTCTTTTGAACCAATTCCTCTGCCATTCATAACTGCATGAACCATCTTCCCTTTCACTGATTAATTGAATAGCATTCCTTTAACAACCTTGGAAGTTGCTTATGTGAAAATATGTTAGTGAAGCATTTGATGCACCTGTTACTTTCAGTGTTACTTTAGCAGCTGGGAACAAGTACTGTGCGGTTGGCAGGATCTTCAAGGACAGCTAGCTAAGCTGCAGAAAAGCAGATGTGATCATTTTATTTTTATTGCATTTCATTAATGAGGTTTTGGGGCCTTTTAAAGGATCAGCTTAGAAGGAAAACCTGTTATTTTTGAGGCTGCTTATTATTTACTTCAAAGTGCTTGGCACTCTGCAAGAGCCAAAATAAAAATAATTCTTTTTTGAGGAGCTGTGTCATATAACAAATTGAGTTTGTCCTATAACTGGGACAGACAGCTTTTCTTGCCATTTTAAATCTAATGGTCACAACCTTATTTATAGACTTGTGAAAGACAAAGTTAGTTAGGGAAAAACAACCTGAAATCCTTTTAATAGCAGTGGCCAATCCTGGTGCTTAAAAAACTTGATCAGCTGCTACACACTACACTTCTGGTATTTGGCCTTTAGATAATCTCAACTCAGCCTTTTAAGTACCTTTCACTATTTTGGTCCTACTGACTCGGAAACAACTTCATTCCTTTTAAGTTTTTGAGGGGTTGGAGGAGAGAAGAAGGCAGCTCACTTTTTCAGGTGATCTTCACCTTGGCCCAAGGAAGCACCTGATAATAGCAAAGAAACAAAGCTGAAATAGTCCAAGGTAAACTTATTTCATGTTTCCACAGAGGAGCTTCTACTCTTCTTTTGTTACAAGAAGACTAAAAAAATCCCCCAAAAACTTGAAATCTCCCATTGCTTTCAAACAAGAAATAGAAAAAAAGAAGAGTGCAGATGCACAAGAATTCCTCAAACCCTGATGAAATACTGCTTTATAGCATGAAGAGAGAGGAGCAGGAGCATGGGAGAAGGAAGAAGAAAGAGAAATCTGTTGTACCCTTAGTGCACAGAAGTTCCCATGTTAGGGAGTTAGCAAGAATCAGCCAGTACACTGTAAATTCATCTCCAAGCTCTCTGTGCCATAACTACTTGTGTAGTTAAGTTTGTTGCAGTTAAGAGCCAGCAAGCTTCTTTCCACAGCCAGAGTCTTGAAAAATATAAAGTTGTCAAAGCAACCTGCTGGTGCTAAATAAAATTGTTATGGCTGGCACGCAATCCTGTGCACTGCACTGCGAGACCATACAGGTTCACATTAGACAATCTTGGGCACATTTTTACTCTGATGAAAGCACATTTGCAGGTGTTCATTTTACTGGCTAGCTGCCTTGTGCTAATGCAGTGCACTTCCTGATCCATGTGGGAGGGCAGAATGGAAGCTCAAGATCTGTTTCTTATCTTGGTCCCAGTTTCCTTGGCTGGTAGAGATTGGCAATACCAAAGAAGCAGTGTCATCCTGGTTTGCTGAGAGAGGGGTTTACCATCTTGTTTCGTTTCACCTTTCACTGTGCTGCTTGAATTTTGGTGTCTCCTTCAATTTAAGCTTTGAAAATCCATCCCGTGATGGAGAAACATGGGAATTCAAATGCATGCATGAGACACAAGTAGTGATGGATTAGAAAACTCAGTATTACTTTAATCTGGGGAAGGTCCTCTTGATCTAACTGAAATGTTCCTTGTACCAAGGTACGCAATCAGCAACACCATTGAAATGATGGAGGAAATAGGAAAAATACTCCGTTGAGCATGAGGGAGGTTTTGTCAGCAAGAGTTATGCAGGTTACCATAACCAAGTTTGTGTAAAACCATTGAACCACATCAGTTATTCCATTTGCTACGCTTTATTGGAAGAGCGGGTAGTACTCTATTTTTCAATTGCAATCAATCCGTTGTTTTGGCACAACCTTTTATCTGGAAAGCCAGATGCTTTAGGATTAATAAGTCTGTTGGTTTGGCTGTTATAAGTAAAGTAGAAAGTAACTTGCAAGTAAGTCTTCAGTGTTCTGCATCGCATTTAAGGGGGGAGAACAAAGACAAAAATCTGCTGTTGTGTACACATATCACTTTCAGAAAAGTGGTAAAAAGATTTCTTTATCTAGATTCATGTACCATTACTGTAACAAGATGAATGGATTTTAGTTGAATAAACCAGTTGCCAAAAGGTGTACCACAGGAAGGCCTTAAGGGTAGCTTGTGTGTGCAAAGTGTACCTTCCATGTCACAGGTGTGCTGTTCTTTTACTTTGTTTGGAGGCTCTATTTTTTATATGTAATAAACTTCAGCCTTCCCTAGTAATTGAAAAAGAAGATGCATCTGTTCTTCAAACTTTGTAACTGTTGTAAGAGGACTGCTGAGAAAAGGTTGTCATCTCATTCTATTTCTTCCTTGCAGCTTTAATTTGAATCCTCATTTGGCATGAATGACTCCAGCAATTACCTCTGTTGCTGCTTATAATTTTGAGGCAGAAGTAATATGAAGCTGGTATTATTCTTGAATTTCAGTAGATCTGACATTCTGAATGGCAGGAGTGAGTTGGTTAACTTTGATCTGATGCCAGCGACAGAGCCAAAAGCGTCAACAGACAGCACTAAATTATGTTGTTCCATATGTCTACACAAGGGCTGGAAATATGACTAGTTAAAATGAAAACTTAAATTCTGTACACACTGTGATTAATGTTGCTGCATTCCCCAGGCCATGCTTCTTTATTTGGCAGTAGATTTTTTTCTTTCAAACCTGCCTCACTTTATTGAATATGTAAGGTATGCCAAGTACATTACGGTTATATATGAGAATTAGTACGCCCTGTTTTTAGACTGATTTGCTATTTAGAAGTATAAACACTTTCCCATTCAGGGCTTTTAAGATGTTATTCATCTTGGACTCTGACTTGGTCTCAGGTGAACTGAAATAACACTTTTTAATTTCCATTAAAAAGCTATCATGACACTGAGACAGTTTCAAATTCTTTTGTTCTCTCAAATTGTGAAGCTGCCAAACTATTGGCGGGGGGGGGTTTGCAAGCTTTGTGTCATGTAACAGTTAAGTTTTGGGATGCACAAGGACTTAGCATATCTAAGTTGGATGCTTATCTTGCTGGGAATCTTTGACCCTAGCTGACTTCCTGCCCCTGGGGCAGGGGGCTGAACTTGTTGATCTTCCGAGGTCCCTTCTAGCCCTAATGTCTATGAAATCTAAGTAACATTACAGAATTAAGATCTGAGTTTAGAAGTGGCTTATATGTATAATCAGTAGTTGATATCTAGTCCATGTAGAAATCTAATAATGTTCCAATCTAGGCAAGTACTAACCTTTTCTTTTTACACTACTTAGGTCAGTGCAATGGCTCAAGAGTCTCCCAAAAATTCAGCAGCAGAAATTTCTGTAACTACCAATGGCCAGCTTGAAGATTCTCATGAACACAATTTTAACAGGGTAAGATATGTCCAGAGCCTCTTTAATTAAAAAGTACCATTAAATCACTATTGAAAATCCGATTTATTAAATATTGTGGTCACATATACTACATGTAGTCTGATGTGGTTCCTTAGAGCTATGGAAAGGTAGAGTGGCTAATATTTTATCGTGCCATAGGGATGATGTTGGGGACATAGGAAGGTTAGATTACAAACAGCTTCATAGAGATAGTTTGGAGGTATATTTTTTGCAGAATTTGACAAAGACTTTCTCATAATCAGTTTACCAGGTATGTCAGTTTCAGAATTATTTAAGCTAGTTTAAGTTTTCAGATAGTCTACTGGCTGTGTTGATTTGTTAACTCTGACGTGTTAAGTTAAAAGTAGCAGATATACATATGGATGCAATTTAAATGTCCTTAGAAGAAGTTTAAAAATAAGTAAATGCTTGTAGGTATGTTTTGCTGCCTTTCATAAATTCACTTAACTTCTAACTACATTTAAGGTTGAGTTGTATTAGAGCTCCTATTATAAAAATATTCTTTGCTTTAAATATCTGGGATTTTTTTCT